GAGACTTCTTGTAAAGTCTTAAATTATTGCAAGTTCTCTCAGAGAAGCAAATCCTGGAATGCAATTCAAGTAATGCTGTACTTCTCAATGCAGATCTCAAACAAGAGAAATATGAATTTGTGACACTAAGGGGCACTGCAGGGAAAAGGCTCCAGTCTAGTTTGCTTGTGTACTTCCAACTTCCTACAGCTGAGTAATTGTTCCTATACAGTAGATGATAGTTTCTATCCCCCTCACAGGCCTTAACTGATAGGTAAGAGAGTAAATTTGTCTGATAAATTAGTTTCTCTTTTATAACCCTTAAATAATTCCTATTAATGTTCTCCATCATCACAGCATAATGTTTACCTATAGTGTGGTCAGTAAATTGGATTTTCTTTTACTCCTCTCAATAAAATGGTGAGACCAACATCTAGACTTTGGAAACATTTCCACAGTGCAATTTCTGCTGAGAGCAAAGCTGCAATTTGCAAATATTGTGAGAAGAAATATTATTTTCCAAATGCTACAAGGATGACCTGCAAGTATCTTTTCCTTACAAAGTTCTAATTCCAGAAACATTCTTTCTGCTGCTTCTGGATCATCATGTAGGAAGTCAGCAAACCCCCCCCTCCCCCAGATAAAGAAATATTTGGGGGATATTTTTAAAAAGGCAGAAAGTTATATTTTCTCAAAGGAATAATGGGAGAAAATCTTAAAAGGCAGAAACTTCTCCCTCTCTCCCAAGCAGAAACTCAGCAGGCCAGCTCTGTAGATTTGATAATCCTTTCAGAAAGACAGGAGCCAAGAAGCTTGGAGCTGATGGGATTAGAAAGACAAAGACCCCTAAAAATCTACATGCCCTCACCCAAAATTCTAAAAACATGACCTTTAGAACATAATAGGATTAACCCACCACCACTAGAATACCAAGTTCATAGCATAGGAACAGGAACAACCTCAAACAGGAACAACTCCAAACACAAAAGCCCAAGGAGGTATAAAAACTCACCCCTTCCAGCTCCATTTTGTCAGCTTTCCCAGAACTGCATGTTGTTGCTGTTCTGTTCTTCAATAAACTGAACCTTTTTTTTCCTAAGCAGCCTCCATTTTGTTTATTCCCAGTCAAAATGGATCCTGAAGATTTTTCTTTCAACAATCACGAAGTGTTTCTTTACCAGCAGTATCTTCAGGTAAGGAAATGTTGCAAACAACTGCCTCACAAAAATACACAATACCTTTGTTTATAGATAAAATGAAAATCAGGAGAAAATGATCACCCTCTGCAAGAGCAAAATATGCTTCTAAATCAGCATTTTCAATAACTGAAAATGCATATTGGCAGGAAGCTTTTAAATTATTACGGCCATCATGCCATTTGCCATGCAGACATTCCTTGAGCAACCCTCTTTTGGAGTCAGAATAAGAGTGTGTAATGGAATATGTGTGAGAAAAAAAAATCAGCGAAGCACTATACCTTACAGTATTTACAGATGGATTGTCATAACCAAAAAAAAAAAAAAAAACTTCTTTCAACATGTAAAAAAACAAGAAAAAAGTTAAGGAAATAATTGGTCCATTAGTGAAAGAAAGTGGCAAAAAGGTGACAAACAACAGGGAGAAGGCAGAACTATTCAACTCTTTTTTTGCATCCGTATTTACACAAAGGGAAAAAAAACAGTCCAGCCTATCAAAAAACAATACCGTAAAAAACAGATTAAAAACACAAGTTAAGATAGGCAAGAAAATGGTAAGGTTCTGAAGGAACTGGCAGATGTGATCTCAAAACCACTGAACTATATCTTTCATATATCTTTCCCAGGGAGGGGGTGTCTGTTTTTATATGTGACAGATGGTGTAATAATGCCAAGGTGGATTCAAGTCTGTGCTCCCCAGATGTGGAGCTTCTGACCATTAAATGCAGACCCTTTTATCTGCCTAGAGAATTCTCTGTTACCATTATCACAACTGTGTATATCCCCCCTGATGCAAACAGAGAAGAGGCCTGAAGGTTCTCTGTCATACCATCCATGACTTACAAACTACTCACCCAGAGAGTGAATTTGTTGCAGTGGGAGACTTTAACCAAGTGGATTTGAAAGCTACCCTGCCACATTTCCATCAATATGTGGAGTTTGCAACCAGAGGGGACAATACACTGGATCTTGCTTATTCCAACATTATTTTAAAAAACAGGAAGAATTTTATTGCCATCCAAGACATGCTGCTGCAAATCTATTGGGTCCAAGATTCAAAGGCAGTGGTGTGAGTGATGAGAATACAGCTGCTGCATTTGACTGGATTATGAAACAAGCTGTGCACTTAGGACTTGATGTTGGAAAAGTACTTTCAAATGTTGCAGAATATCGAACAGCTTGTTTGGGCAAGGAATGCATTCTGGAATTCTGCAAACATATCCTTCCTGCAACATGGTGGCAAGGTCTCTGCACCATACAACCTCTGACACCTCTTGCATCTTGCTTACTGCAGATTCCTGCATCTTCTTCTGCAAGAGAAAGAACCTGGTCTATGATTGGTAATATTCATACCAAATCAAGAAACAAACCAAACTCTGAAAGGGTAGAAAAATTTGTTTCCGTCCATGCCAACCTAAAGCCTTTAGAAATCTCTGAGAAAAATGATAAAGAGGAAGAAATGGAAAATTATTGCAGTAGTTCAGAAAATGAGATAGAATAAACTGCATGTATATGTTGTGTCTTCTGTTTGTTTGTTTTTAAAAGTACCACTCAAAAGATAAACCTTCTACAAAGCTTAAATATTGAGGTTGACCTTAACTTTATTTGCTATTGGTGCTAAGGAAGGCATCTGATTATTGTTTTTATTTTGATGATTTCTTGCTTTTTTGTTGTTTTTGAGGGAAAGGGGGTCGTTACCTGTTTTATTGCAAGCATAATACTTTAATATACACTCCATTTCACGCAATTTGTAAAACTACTCTGCACTGATTTTTTTTCCAATTTTTCCAAAAAGTGTATTTTTTACAGGAAAAAAAACACCGTTTTTTTCTCATGGCTTCAAAATTTCCAGAAATTTTACATCTCTAGTATGTGTGTATCAGCTTATGACCACAACTGAGCCCAAAATTTCTGTTGATAAGTGAGACATTTGTTAAGTGAGTTTTGTCCCATTTTATGAACTTATTAAGTGAATCACTGCAATTGTTGCATTAGCTGCATGATTGTTAAGTGAATCTGGCTTCCGCATTGACCCTGCTTGTCAGGTCACAAAAGGAATTCACATGACCCTGGAACACTGCCACCGTCATAAATATGAGTCAGTTTCTAAGCATCTGAATTTTGATCACATGACCACAGGGATGCCTCAATGGCCATAAATATGAAAAACCATCATAAGTCACTTTTTTCAGTGCCCTTGTAACTTTGAACAGTCACTAAATAAACTGTTATAACTTTAGGACTCTGTGTGTGGCTCAGTGCTTAAAGATGCTGAGCTTATCACCTGGAATGCTGACAGCCCAGGTTTGAGGCCCAAACTCCCCGCAACAGGCTGAGGTCTCGGCACTTGCCCTAGCTCCTGCTCTCTTAGCAGTTCAAAAGCATGCAAATGTAAGTAGATTAATAGGTACCATTTCGGTGGCATACCTTTGGCAATTACCCATGCTGGCCACATGACCACCAAAATTGTCTTCAGACAATGCTCCCTCTTTTGGCCAAGAAACAGAAATGAGCGTCGTAACTTTGAGTCAGATATAACTGACAGGGAAATATTTACCTTTATAAAAATTTAAATCATCACACATGACAGTAAATGCTACCTGTGAATAAAAGTGTTGTGAAAGATTTTTTTAGGCATAAGCCATGATGAAACCATTGAACTCCATCAGCATAAGAACATGTATTCATCTTAGCTATAATATCTGTGAGAATTTACATATTTTTAGAAAATAAACTGCAATCAAGAAATTAAAAGACGCTTGCTCCTGGGGAGGAAAGCTATGGCAAATCTAGACAGCATACTAAAAAGCAGAGACATCACCCTGCCAACAAAAGTGCGTATAGTCCAGGCCATGGTTTTCCCAGTTGCAATGTATGGCTGTGAAAGTTGGACCATAAGAAAGGCTGAGCGCCAAAGAATTGAGGCATTTGAACTATGGTGCTGGAGAAGACTCCTGCGAGTCCCTTGGACTGCAAGGCGTTCAAACCGGTCAGTCCTAGAAGAGATCAACCCCGACTGCTCTTTAGAAGGCCAGATCCTGAAGTTGAAACTCAAATACTTTGGCACCTAATGAGAAGGAAGGACTCACTGGAGAAGGGCCTAATGCTGGGAAAGATTGAGGGCAATAGAAGAATGGGACGACAGAGAATGAGATGGCTGGATGGAGTCACTGAAGCAGTAGGTGTGAACTTAAATGACTCCAGAAGATGGTAGAGGACAGGAAGACCTGGAGGAACGTTGTCCATGGGGTCGCGATGGGTCGGACACGACTTCGCAATTAACAACAACAAAGAAAATAAAAAATGAAAATCATTTTTGCAGATGAATTTTATTCATTTAACGAACTCAACACTTCGTGCTAAAATATCATTTTCAATGTTTTCTTGTCACTGCTTTAAGAAGGGCTGATGATTGGTAATTCTCATTAATCAAATGCTTTGGCTAAAAATTTATACATTAAGGTTACATTATTGACTTCAGGTACATTTTGAAAAATGTATAGATGGCCTATATATTTGTTGAAAACTGCATTACCATTTTACCAATAATAAGTACTAAAATGTAGCTTTTAGAAGTAAGCTTTTATCTTCAAGATCTATTGTGAACAGTTGCAGACAATCCAGAGTTCATGAATTTTCCAGAACACAATGAAGTTTCATATAGGGTTATTAAAGATTACTGACATCCATACACTGCTTAAAAAGGACTGCCATCATTCATTGAACAAATATTTTATTTTCATGCTGGTAATAAAAGGTGGAAAGAAAACAAGGAGAGAAGGGTAAAGTATACATATATTAATGCAATATGGATAGTTGCTTTTTCCATTTATGCAAGTAATTCTTTTACATCGAAATTCAACTTTATTTCCATCTCCACAATATATTTTATCCCATTCCTTTCACCTCAGCTGTTAATATTGTTGCATCTCAAATCTTCTTCACTTGTTATTCAAGGAACTGCAAAAGCTGCATAAATTGCATAAGCTAAGGATTAATTTATATTGCTTTGGTCCTACAAGAAAACATTTTCATCAGCTAATACTTTAACAAATGAATCTTTCCATTGAAAATTATTTGATTGTCTCATCAGGAAAATTGGTGCATCTTTCCAATTCTAAGCTTAAGATCATGAAACTTTGCTGTTCAGATAAAGTGGTATCATTAGATAAAGTAGTACTATTGTGCTGGTCAGAGTATATAGCTAGCTTAGGAATTAAGAATTGTGTGTAGAGCAAGATCTTGTGATTTCTGATGGGAATATAAAATCTCACTAATATCTTTGAGGAGATTTTCAACAGAGAGAATTTCAGAACTGCTGTTATGCCCAGAGATCAATATTTTCTCTGGAATTTTACTTTTTTTTCACCAAAATTGCCAGCCATTTGGGGGAGCTCCCATAATGCATACTACATCTATGCGCTAGGACCAGAAAGATTTACATTCCCTTTTTTCCATGCAACATGTTAGGTAACTTGATACAATAGCTGGATATTGAATCAGGATACAAATCTAAGCAGATTCACACACACACACACACACACACACGCACACGCACACAAACACACACACCAAAAACCCAGAGTATCTTTTTCTAAACAATTCATTCAGATAAGGATATTGTCATAATATCATATATCATATCTCATTGTGATTTAGCATAACAAAATAGTTCAGAATTCGGTGTTTTTGAAAAGACATGTGAACTCCTCACGAGTTACAGATTTTGTGTTCAGTGGTGGTTAAACAGGAAATTTGGAGCATTTTAGGAAAATGCTGCCAAAGGTCAACTACGGGGTCACCTTCTGGCTAATTTATTTTTTATTTGATTGTAGCCTCTTTAAGGTTATTTTATTTTAAAGTTTAATTTTTGTAGAAAACCATTTTAGCATCAGAATTGCTAATTATACCACATCTTTAATTTCCCAATTATCACCTTTGGATAAGTCACCATTAACAATTTCTGGATCACATAGTTTTGTGGCTTTTGACAACCTTTATAGAGATTGGAGTGTGCTCTTTGTGTTTCTCAAGGACCTGTAAACCAACCAGGGCATGAGATCCTTCTGTTTCTATTATTCTAGACTGAGATTGAGTTCTAACGTTTACTGTTATGGATGTTAAGTTTCCCTTATATGCAGCTCTATCATTCATCTCTGTTGTATTTGTTTCCTACATCACTTTGCTACTCTGTATTTCATTTTATTGTTTCTGTGATGCATTTCTGGTTCCTGTTGTATGCTCCCTCTCTCTGTAACAACATGGCTTCTGCACAGTGACGCCTTGTATTGTATTTACTGACTTCACATGAAACATTTACTGTCTTTTCCTTTCCCTCTTTATAACTAATCATTTCATTCCTGCAACCTCTTCCATTCAACTTTTTTTGGGGGGGTGTTCAGCCCTTCTGCCTGCCTTTTCAGTAATAATCAAAGTTATGATCCTCAACTTGTGATTCTGCTCCTAATGTTGCAATCATTCTACTCATGTGCCATGCAAAAAAGTAGGTCTGTTCATGTGCTAGCAAATTTCACTGTGCGTGTTCCTATAGGCTCATCTACATTTACTGTTTCTCTTGAAGCAAAGAGGCCTCCCCTAACAGTTGGTTGAGAGTATGAATACACAGCATTGTCCCCAACTTGCCCGTCTGCAGAAGTAGCTGCAGTAGTGCATTCTAACCACTGCACCATCTCAGCTATTTATTCCTTCCAGAGATTTATCAAATTGGTTATTTTTTGGATGGGCATTTACTAGTCTTACAGACCACTGGTAGACTCTTCTTCCTGTCACATGAGGCTTTCAGAAGACTTGTAGCTCATGGTCAAAAGCAATCCAAGTGGCAGGTTATCTGTACAAAGAAGTGAAACTAATCTTTTATCATATCTCTACTCCCCAAATAGTTGAAACCTTTGTGAACATTCCAACTGAAGTGCATGAACTGAACACTAAGCAAAAATATTTTTGGTTTTAAAGGATTACAATAGCTATTAGAAAAGACTTCCTCTTTGTCTATGGTGACTGAAAGATTTCTTTAAAATTACTAATTAGGAAGGAAAAAATTAAATTGGCCTGGAATGCCTCTTGCCCTTGGACACTCACCTTACTCTCTTCTCCCACATTACTTTCAATGTTACATTTCTGCCACTAACTTGCTTGCAAACTTTGCAAGTTGAATAGGATATTTCAATTATAACAATAGCAGTAGCACTTAGATTTACATATCCGCTTAAGTATTACCTGTACAGACCTCTCTAAGTGATTTACAGAGTCAGCATATTGCCCCCAACAATCTAGGACCTTATTTTACCAACCTCGGAACAATGGAAGCTGAGTCAACTTTGAGCTGGTTAGAATCAAATTTCTGGCATTCTAACCACTGCTCCCCCACAGCTCTTACCTTGACATCTATTGGGAAACAAACTTCCCAAAAAATGCTGACTTGTATAGCTGAGGAAGACACAGCCACTAGGTACTAAACAACAGGGAGTACTTTGGGCATATCCATGCAGCCTGTGTGCATGGTGCAAGGACAGCCTACTGTTTCCCTAACACATGTTTGCATGCTTCTGCCTGTCTCAGGTTCAGATCCTGAATTGGGCAAGTAGGGGTCCCTGTGTGAATGTATTATGTGTTAAATTATTAGTTCAGAAAATAAACTGAAAGGATAAAAAGTGTAATCTTTTATGTATACTCCATTTTTCGTGTATAACATAGTCCAGCCGTTGTTCATTTATTTTTGCTTTCCGTATGTGCTCCAATGTAATCTAAATTCTGCTGAGCAAAGAAGAAAAGCAAAAGCTTTCTGTTACTGATTGTGACAGGATCTGGCTTCTTCAAAGACTCATTCTGATTAAATCACTTTCTTGGGTCCCTACAATATTCAGGAAAGTATTCCCCTGGGCTTTGGCTTATGGATTATGATTAGTGACAGCATGAAGCAAGTCTTCTGTACAGTAGCATCATGCTACGGAATAAGGTTATTACTATTTAATTTGCTTTTAATACATTTTTCCTTGCTTTTTGTGGAACAATTTTATGAATATTTTAAAGGACTTTAGAACATTTTCAAGAAGAAAAGTTATAGAAATGTTATTATTACTACTGCTAATTATAATAAACTAGTCTCCAGCTAACATTATTATTTCATAAACAATTATTGTGAATAAATCAATTTATCATTTATTAACAATAAAGCAATTTCTGCTCTAGAAAGAAGCTAAAACCAAAGTAAATAAAAAAAAAAGCTGCTTACCTTTACAGAGAGCAGGGGGGTTCCAACCATTAGCAGTACATTTAGAAATGTACTTTCTTGTGACTCTTGTAAAAAACACCTGTTTATAACAGGTTATCTCAACTGTATCGTTGTACATATATTGCGATCGTTTAGGTTCAATGTGGCCTTTTGTCACTTCTGGAGGAGGACATTGCATTTCTATGGAGGAATATGAATAGAGATAAATGGTCAATAAGTCATTGCCTAGAAGACTAATTTACTGCAAAATTAGGCGAGATCCTCATGCTATAAACCTTGAAGTGGAGCTATAGAATTTATTTTGTTTTATGATTTTTTTTCCAATTTGCTCATAACACATGCTGTGGGACTTTCTCTGATTCATATGAAGTTCAGTTCAGTTCAGTCCTCATCAGATGGCTGGGCTAAATCAACTCCATAGGAAGCTTAAGACTACCTTCACTGAAATTTGTTAAGAGGAGCCTTCCTCAAAAATATTTGCCAGGCAATCACTTCCTTGATGTGGACAATCTGAAGCTGTATAGAAAAACACGATCTGAAATAGAATTTCTTCTGTGGCTCAGTTCTGCCTCCAAAAATAGCTTGTGTTGCTCCCTTGTGGGATTATCACCCAAATTGTCCCTAAAGGAAACAAGTGCTTTTTTCTAAACTTTGAGTCAGAAGATGTCTGTCCTGATTAATTACATTTCCCTTGTCCAAGGAATGCTGCATGAAACATTCGTTCCTATTTGGCCCCACCTCTATTGCAGGCTCAGACTATATATGGCAGATTACAGACAGAAATAAATGCTTGTCCCAAATGATCTTCAGAAGAAAGAAGAAGAATGATCTTCTGAAGAAAGGCATTAGACATTTTAAATCTGATCAATTAAAATTAGAAGACAATATAGAATGCAGTTTGGTTCCACAAGTTTCAGGAAATTATAGACCCCAGATTTTTATTTTTCATGGCTGGTAACAATATTGAAATTATAGAATTAGTGGCACTTTTTAAATTATTCCTTTAAAACTAATTATAGCCACGGTAGGCAATCAGCATTAATATAAATAAGCCATAAATTCAGAGAAAACCTGAAACAGCATTTTTTTGCACGTTAAAGAAAAGAAAAATGGGTCAGAAAAAGACAATACTTGTTATTCAAGTCATATATAAGTATCTCTGGTGAAAATGAAATCAAATACAAACACACAGAGGCTCCTTCCCTAAATTATCAGATTGGAGCTGCAATCCTATGCATCAAATGTGTATAAGATTTCAGAGTAACCATGACCATTAGCAACATATACATACATGTACATTGAGGTTTTGCACTCCATCCATTCTTAGTACATAAGGCATCTGGTCTGTCAACGTATCTGTATCCTTCATTACATGAGAATTGTATTCTCTCACCTTCCTTGTAAATGGACTTTGGAGATAATATGGTTCCATGTTCAATGGGGTTTGCCTGGCAAGTTATTTCTACTATAAAATGCAAACAGAGATTTTTTTTCATGAATATTCTCTGTAATCAATGGAATAATAATAATAAAAAGAAATGCTAGATAACAAACATAAATGATTAGAGAAGACATTCTGTAATTCTAATTTCATTTTTCATCCTAATAGGATTCAGGTAGGAATAGATTGAATAAATGGCTCTTTTATCACACTCACTGTGAATGGACCAAAATCAATCTTAAAGCCATCTACTGTTCAGTTATTTTCACAATCAAATGAAATGCCTTCAGCCTCACCCAGTGTCTACATGTTGATATTAAACAGAAGTGTTGAGCACTGAGGCAACCTGTAAAGCAGGGGTGTCAAATTGCCAGCCCGTGGGCCGGATGCATCATACTGAAACCGCGCCCACTCCATTGCCAGAAATGCCAAAGAAATTGCGATATGTCGCGACACTTCATGTGATATTGTGAGTTGTAAAGCTGTAAAGTAAGACCTGTGAGCTACACCTTTCCTTCAATCAACACTGATTAGAACTAACCCTGAGGACGAAGAACAACCAAGGTAACAAAATGAAACCTTTAAGGACATTGGGTTCACTTAAGCACATTCATATTAAAATTATTTTAAAGTTAAAAGGGCTTTTCAGAACAGCAAACACTTCACGAGTGAGCCTTCATTCTGGGTTAAAGAAAAGAAATAACAATTTTAAGACTTTAAAGTCACCAGCAAAAGACCTGTCAGAAGTATGATATAAGTATTAAATAAATACGAGCCGAGGTGGCGCAGCAGTTAGAGTGCAGTACGAGGCCACTTTAGTGACTTGTCAGCAGGTCAGCGGTTCAAATCTCCACTTGCTCAAGGTTTGACTCAGCCTTCCACCTTACGGGGTAGGTAAAAGGAGGACCCAGATTGTTGGGGCAAGGTAAATATGATATATATACATTGCCTTACTGAGTGTACACCGCTAGAGCAGTGGTTCTCAACCTTTACATGCCGCGACCCCCAACCGGTTGTAAGTCGAGGATACTCAACGGTCGTAAGCGAGGACTACTAAAGGGCAGCACCGTTGCAGAATGGACTCGGCGGGCTCAGCAGGGGCAGAGACAGCCTGGACAATTTCCTATGGCTTGGAAAGCCAATAGAATTAGACTCTATCAAGAGAGTCTATCTATTGGCTTTCAAAAGCAATAGATTAAAGGGAGTAGCACAGCTAAGGAAAAGGGGAAAAAAATGGCAGACTGCGTTGTTTGGCGACCCCCATGAAATGGTCGTTCAACCCCAAATGGGGTCCTGACCCACAGGTTGAGAACCACTGGCTTAGAGAGTGCTTGCACTTAAAGCGGTATATAAGTCTCATAAATAAATAAATAAATAAATAAATAAATAAATAAATAAATTGGAAACCCAGTCAAATTTGAAATATTATTTTTACAGATAACTTCTGAAATAAATAAATACTTTAATGGGGATGCAGATTGTTTAAAGTTTTAGAGAAAAGAGAATTGGTGGATTCTGCAAAATAATGGCAAAGAAAATGCAATAATGCAAAACAAGAGAGACCATCTGCCTATAAACTGTCAAAGGCTTAAGGACATAAAGAAATAGTCAAAAGGGGGAAAACAAGAGAAAAGCTTCCCTTTTAGTTTTAGTTGTAGTTGATTCATTTTCTTTCTAGATAACAAATGAATGAAATACTTATTACTAGAAAAAATTGTAGAAGGAAGGAAAGGATAGTTAAAGACAAGAATTTAAATTCATTTCATATTCAAATATGGTTGCTATGGAAATATTATTTAGCAAATATATTTCAAGGTTGCAGAGATTAACAGTGAACAAAGAATATTAATGAACCAGAAGTTGTCTGAAGTGTTCTTTTTTTAAATAGAAGCATGCAGAAGAATAGTCCAATTCCAATCCAGGGTTCCAAGAGCCAGGTCAGGTTGTCAGCCAGTCCAATTGCCAGAGATTCAAAACTTCTTACATGAACCAAATGTGAAAGAACCTCACAATAGAACCAAGGCTTAGACATTGTTTTCAGCAAATGAAATATGATCACAGCTGCTTTTTAAATCAGGATGTAGCCACCTGTCACTAATTAAGAGATTTACTCCCTTGCTGGGGAAGAAACTTCATGGAATCGTATTTGCTTGGTGGAGGGACTTGGAGGCCTTACATCAAAATCTGACTTCTTCAGCTGTCCAGGGAGTCCCTGTGTTTGTTCAGCCTCAACTGCATCTTGTCTTTGTGTCTCCTGAGACTGATATTTCACAGGTTCAACAGGAGCAACTTCAGATTTATATCTGAAGCTGGTTTCATTACAGAGGTAGTTATTAAGTTTAAAGTCCTATATGTCATAGGACTAGGTTATTTTCCTAAGAAATCTATCCATTCTACCAGATCAGATACATTGTGCATCCGACTAGCCCCTTCCCTTAAATGTTGCCATCTTAGGAGACCTAGAAAGCTTGTCTTTTCCACGATAGTCCCTGTCCAATGGAACGTCTTTTTACTTCTCATAAAGCATTTGAGACCTAGCTTCCTCCACCCCTCCCCCCAGAACTGGACTAAGCTGACCTAACTTTGATTATAATGCTAGGTTTTTAGTTTTAATATTTTTCATTGTTGATAGATGGGACTTTATATTTTGGTTGTGAGCCACCCAATACTTGGTACACAATGGGCAGCTATATAAATGTAATAAATAAGTAAGTAAATAAACAAACAAATAAATAAATAAACATTTATACATCAATCAGGAAGTGAGATTCTTCTTATTTCTGGAACAAGGCAGTTGTAATAAATTATCCTCTGCCTTTTTCTTTCACTTTCTAAAAAGCTATTCATTTCATTCTGTAACATTTTCAGCTGTTTAACAACTTTGAGACCTCCTGTTTTTTCAGTTCAAAATTTAGGTTCACCAACCTATAATTTGTATCTATGTTTACAATAGGCCTATTCATTTGCTAAGAGAAGTACTACTGTCTGTGTTATTTTTCCACTGTAAGATGTGTGTACCTATCTGCTTGTAAATTTGCCTATAACCAGTGCTTTTTTTGTAAAAAAAAAAAAAAAAAAGGTGCCAGAACTCACAGAGGTCATACAACCTACCCTATAAGGTTCTATCCAAAAAAGGTGCTGGAACTCCATTCTGGGCGTTCTATGACAAAAAAAGCCCTGCCTATAACTTTGGTTATTCATGTCTGTTTGTTTGATAAGCAGATGTTCCACACTTCGTTGAAACCCATTTCTTGCACCTATTCTGTATGTATTTAGAACCTTTTCAAGTTGAATGGGAATGCAATTGTACAATCTTGTTTATTCTATTCTGATAGAACATCCTTCTTTCAAGTCTGTCCTTTACAGTATCCTGTTGCAACTAAATCGGAACTTTAGACATGTGCAAAATCTGCTAAAATGTGCTGGGTGAAATTTGTCCCTGAAGAAAGAGGGAGAGAGAGAGAGAGAGATTTTCATGTAAAATAATGTGAAAAATTACGCTTGTGCAGAGTTAAATTGGCTAAAATCATAGTAATGTATGCAATTTCTACTTACAGACACATTTTGATGGAGGTGACCACCCATTTTTTGTGCATTCAACCACCTGTCCTCTATTATCTGGTTCAAAGGTAAATCCACTGTTACACTGAATTTGAATTAGATCCCCGTCACGGTATATACTTCTTTTAGGTCGGAAAGAGCCATTCGATATTCTTGGAGAGTTGCATATAATTTCTAGAGAAAATAAATCATATCTTATATTGAAAAAAGAAAAGCTTGAGCTTGTATCACATGATGTGCATTGCTTTGTATCAGCACAGAAAAAACAATATTATTATTTTGAAAATATATATATCGCACCATCAGATAATTTTAATCAGCAGCCACTGATGGGTACTAACTAATTTAAAACTTTCCACTGATACCTAAAATATACTGTGAAATAAGCCATCCTGACTAAAACTGCTTTTAGTACCTTGATATTCATTTTGAAGATCGTAAATAAATTTCAGCAAGTTGCTATAATTCTTCTTCTTCTGCAGTTTAGTGTTGAATTAAAATGTAAAACTACCGTGTGATATCTCCATATTTGCTATTCAGTCCCACTGTCAATCCCAGTGTTGTTTTCCTCAAGAATTGCAAATTAGGAGTTCCACATTTTAATGGTTCAGCTTTTACCTAATGCTATAGATGGGCTCAGTTACCGTGGTGATGGATGCATTGTTGAAAGATCTAAAGCAGGGGTCTTCAAACTTGGCCCTTTTATGACTTGTGGATTTCAGCCAGCTGAGGAATTCTGGGAGTTGAAGTCCACAGGTCATTCTGGGAGTTGAAGTCCACAGGTCATAAAAGGGCCAAGTTTGAAGACCTCTGGTCTAAAGAATCAAATTTGGGATAGATTGTCCTGGAGAAAATTGATCTATGTGGTTGTTGAGAATTGAAACCACCTTCACAACATGTAATTAATCAAATTGCTCTTCCTGGGATTGTCCTGGGTGAACCCTGGAAATGTCAGCTGATCTAGAATTCAATATACTGCATGTTTGCTATGTAATCTTAGTTCTGTATTATTACAGCACTGCTGTAGAAGTTACATTGGATACCAGTGTTCCTCTGGATGCAATCCAAGGAGCTGCTCACTACCTTTAAGGCTGGATATGGTTCAAGAATGGGCTATCTATGACACTGAATTTTCCAAATAACCACTGCTTGAATGGCAAGACAATTTTCACTAAGAATCCCCAATTATCAGTTTGGTTAGGAAATTGTATCAGGTCTTCTCCTTGAAGCTCCCCTCCTCTGGGATCAGCTGCCTTAAGATGAGGGTTTTAGCCTCTCTCCTCACCTACAGGTGACTGAAGAGCTACAAGGGCATGTGTGTATAAGTGTGCATTTTTTATTCTTTGGTTCCACAAGGAAAAACATGATAGAGAAATGCCATGAATGCACAAATAAGCATTTCCATGAAGTTCTTCCTATGCCTATATAGAAACTACTGATTCTGGGAGATGTTAAACTGCCTGAATTGAGAAATGACCCTCATTAGGCATCCTCTTATCAGTTAGGCAACTGTCATAATGCATAAACAAACAAACAAATATTTCCATAATGTTCTTCTGATGCCTTTGGTGAAACTACTGTTTCTGGGAGATATTAAACTTCTAGAAATGCAAAATGTCCCTCATTAGGCATCCACTAATCTAATAGTGCCAAGATCAGAAGTAAAGCAATATTCTCTAGCAGTAACTAAATTAGATTTTGGTATGGTAACAGTTATAAATTCTTTAAAAATAGAAATATATAGTAGCTCAACAATGGATGTGAGCTGTATTATACCATTCAATTATATAAATGGTATTGCCATGCAGATATATTATCCTGCATCGATGAATGAGCAATCTTTTTGGAAAAACTCTCAAGGATGCTATGTACTGTTTTTGTACTAACTTAGCTATGGTTTGTAAAATTAAATCCTTTGAGTCACCTTTGCATTTAGGAATCAAAGGGGTTGTCCCATCACAATGGATTATAGAAGCTGACTGGGAAGAATCTGCTGCAAGGACATATCCTGTTCTACAGATCAACTCTATAGAATGTCCACGTTGAACAAATATATTTTCAGAGGCATCCATTCCATCTTTAACTTCTATCTTCTGCCTTTCCAGTTCAGCCGTGGGAATCATACAGGGATCTCAAAGAGAATAAATCTGTTAGAGAAGGATCCAAATGCAAATCCAAATCTTGTTGCAAAGGTCTAATAATAGAATTTAGCTTTCACCTACTAGCCAGTTCTCCTCAGATTTAGAACTGAAATCGTATATAAAGGAGAGTTGCTGCCAGACAAGACCAATTAAATTATCTTTATGCAAGAGAGAAAGAAAGCAGTGAATGGATCCTAATCCTTAGAACTGCTCATGAAAATTGGATGGAGATTTTATTTTCTACTTACCGAGGCAAATGGGCACTTTTGTCCAGATCCCATTGTCACAGAAAGATATTTTCTGGCCTTCCATGGCATAAAACCTTTGGCATCTGAATTCTACTGAAGAGCCAGATCTGTACTGCTTCTCAGATAAAGTAATAATATCCCCATTCTCAATCCTGGGTGGACCATTACAATTTGTTCCTCCTTCTATTAAACATGAAAGCATGAAGATTGAAGACTTTGGCCATATTCCAAACTAAGAAAACACCCATCAGCATCTCTGACTGATTACAAAAGACACTAATAAATATGTTTGAATGAGCATCCATTCAGGTTGTACGTGTTTATAGTATTTTTAAAATGCACACAGAAACAGTGCTAAATAAATGACTGGCTCAAAGGCTCAATTAGTATCAATATAAGCAAAGCTTGTAACGAGAATATTACTCCTCTGTGTCTTCGCCTAAAGGATATTCTCATTGTGAGATATCTACCAATTGTTTTTGTACTTATCCTGATGTAAACCTGAGATACATCTCTAACATTTCAAACTTCTGACTTATGAAGACTCATTTCCTTTGTATAAAATGTTACAGACATGGCCCCTGTGTGATCAATGCTCTTATGCAGACATTATGTGCTATAGTGGCAGACCAGAGCACTAATAGAGGCTGTCATAAAAATCATGTCATCTATAGGGAAGTGTTGAGAAAAAGAACCTGTTTAGTTAATACCCTCTTGTGGATTTGAAAGTATGGATAGCTGTAGTACTAACATATCCTTCTATATAGGCCCAGAAAAAATTAAGTCTGAAATCTTCAGTAGGATTTATTGCCAAGAAAAGTCCTTTTTCTCTATAATCTATATTTTTAGAATAATAGCATCTAAATGTTTACATGGTGGGGAAATATAATCCATAAATATATTCCATTTTTACAACTGTTCATTTCAAATTTGGGGATTTTTTTGTTTATAAGTAAAATCAACCATTAAACAAAATAGTTCAATAAAATTAAAGACTAAACTTTTACACCAGTTTTAAAGTACATTATTAGAAATGATAATCACTTGGTTATTATCACAGCAGGTTCTTTATTAATTCAGACCAAGTCCCTCAAAATGGGTGTGAATTTCGAATACTAATGCAAAGTATTTTTCTATTCACAAATAAGTTGCTGAAAAATGTTGTGTTTGAGAAGAGGATTGTACTTATAAGTCTATGATATTCTTAAACAATCTGTTATTACAAATTTCCAGAAAGCCACAGATGAAAAATGGAACTCTTTGCTTTTGCTAAAAGTAACTGTTCCTTTAATGAATGCAGCAGAAACTGATTTCCTTAGTAACCCCTTGGTTTCTCTTTTTCTTAACTTACCATTTTGAGAAGAGCAGCTTGGGCAGAGAAGAAAAGCAATGACCAGGAGCAGCCTGTTGTTCATAGCTTTTCAGGCAATGTCTGAACCACAAAACCTCAGTTCAGCAGTTTGGCTTTTGCAGCTGATTTCTTCCTGCTTTCACCATGCCTTCCTCATTTTATGCTTGTTTGTTTGTTGTCAAGGAATCTTGGAGGAGGAATAAGAATATGACCTTGACAGATAAGAGGAGACACCATGAGAATCTTGGGAACTTTATGTTGATACACAACAAACAAATCAATCAATAATTCAGCCTTTCAGGTAGTCCTTTCAACTCTTCAGAAGGAAATATCAAGGTTGATAAGAATACAGAAGCTAACAATAAAATTGTTATGTAAACCATTTCCTCATTTTTCTAGGTATTAACACTGTATTTTTATTGTAAATGACCCCGAGTGACTCAGGTGAAATTGGCAGTGTAGAATTTCAATATCTAATTAAATTACTTTTGCTATCTGACATATCTTTTTTTGCATTTATTATGTCCAAAGGTTAGCATCCAATACTATCCAATAATTTCCTTAAATTACTCTGGAGTTTAATAATAATAACCATTAACTAATCATATCAGGGAGACTATTTGTGGGTTTTTTTTTCTCACAAATATTGCGGATCTAGGATTGGGTTGCACTTCTATGAATACCCAGAAGGTCAAAATAATATCAACTCCCAGAAACTAGAAGAACAAATAAAGTAAGACATTGTTTCCTCATCAGGATACAAGATCTACCCTTCTTCCCTTACTAACCAGGAACATTCCCTTTTACAAGGGAAAATGTGGTTTTACATTTTATTTTCCTTTTTCTCTTTTTTTGTCTTTTAGAGAAAATATGGTGTCACCATTTTATAATATATTTTTCTAAAATTCAAAATCTCATTATTTTTACAGGTGTGCATAAGAAGTATTCTTTGACGCCAATCCCATCTACCTTCTCTGAAGAAAACCATATGTGTATTATCTGTTTCATATGATTTGAACTGAGTTAAAAAATCGTTTGTTTAGTGTAAACCAGTGTTTCTCAACCATGACCATTTTAAGGCATGTGGACTTCAACTCCCAGAATTCCACAGCCAGCATTGCTGGCTGTGGAATTCTGGGAGTTGAAGTCCACTTGCCTTAAAATGGTCAAGGTTGAGAAACACTGGTGTAAACAGTGTTTATTTCCTCCAGAACCTGTAGAGGGAAGAGGGAATGGCCTTGGAGGACAAGAAGAGAGCCATTACCAAGGCAGCTGTCAGATAAGAGGAGCCTGAGACTAGGCCCAGAAAATAACTTGAAGTAATGTCTCAGACAAGCCCCTTCCTAATTCACATGAAGATGAAGAGAGGGAGAGGGAAACACATGTAGAATTGCAAGATTCTATGACTGTAGCTGATACAATAAACATAGTACTTTATTTTATAGGGCTAGGATCAGCTTTAATATGAACTTTTCTACATTTCTTTTCCTTTAGCTCCATCCACACATCATAAAGCCACAAAACTGATATCTGACAATAAACAACTTATGTCACATAGGTCAGGAGATTATTGTACATGTGAAATAAATGGTTTCTATAAGAATTTGCATAATAACATATGCTTGATATCACAAACTCTTTCCCTCTCTGCAGAAATCCTTCTACACTTTGCCCATGATCAGCAACTGGAAGTTTTCTTCAGGGAATTTCTTATTCTTTACACTTTTCATGTCCAAAGAATCCATCCAGAACCTCAGTTTTGTCCATTTTTTTATCATGCAGAAAAACTGAAGAAGCATCATGAAAAAGAAGTCCTTTAACAACTTTCAGAAGAAAATTAGTCCCTTCTTATAATGCTCTCTGACTAGCCAACAATATCTCATCATCATAGCTATGGCATCACCATGAGAAATTAGAAGACTCTCTGTGGCAGGACCCTCAATATATGACTGAATATATGTTTAGAAAAGTGAAAAGCAGGATCATTTATTGCAGCAGGGATAAAGTAAGTTCTAGTTTAGTCTTGCAAGAATAACTTCCAGTATTCAATGTGAGAAGGACTTTGGGCTATAGCTTTGATACATTGAAATTTATTGCCAGGAACTAGCAAAAAAAAGGCTATTTAAATGATATATACAAAAATGTAAATTATTACACATGACAATATTATTCATTGTGAATAATAGTGTTGTACTTCTGAAAAAACTTTGTAGGCATAAGCCTTGATGAAACCATTGAACTCAATCAGCATCAGGACATCTATTCATCTTAGCTAATATCTGTGAGAATTTACATAGTGTGAGAAGTGAGAATATGGCCTATTGATTCTTTATGTATAATTGGGCCTAGGTAAATCAAAACAGGCCTTATGAAGAAGATATGAAACAAAGTGGAGTGTTTTCACAATATGAAAGAACTATTTGTAATTTGTTATGCAACTGCTTTTTGTGTAATATGATTTTGCAAAGTAGACAGTTTCCTAAGTATATTTGGAACAAGAAGGTTAGAACTGTGTGAAATAGAGAACTGATAATAGCATATGGATGGTGATTTCAGATGTACACAGGTATGTATGGAAATTGATGGTCAACAAGAAAGAACAAGGAACTAGTTTCTTAATATTGCAAGATAATGACCATCTGTATGTGGTCAAATTGTTAATGAAATACACCTCTGAATCTTAATGTAAGAAGTATTGTTTTGTGTTGCTATCTCTTGTTTCTTTCACTGGATTTTCCCACAACAATAGGTTTTGACAATAAAAAATGAAAATCATTTTTGCAAATAAGTTTTATTTGTGTAATAAATTTGAAACTGCTTTATGGTAAAATATCTTTTTAAGTTCTATTGTCACTACTTCACGAAGGGCTGATGATTGGTAATTCTCAATCAAATATTTTGGTTAAGAATCTACACATAAAAGGTGTACATTATTGACTTTAGGTACATTTTGAAAAATGAGTACAGGTAGTCATCGAGTTATGACAGTTCATTTAGTGATGGTTCAAAGTTATGACACCATCCTCCAAAAGTGCTTACAACGCAGTTCTGAAGTTATGAATATTTCAGCACCACGGCAGTTGTTCACCATTACAACCAACCATAGAGACACTGCAATATTCCCCCTGCCTATCCCCACCCCCCCGGGACCTAACAGGGACCTATACTAGCCCACTGACTCCATCCCACCCTCTTACTGACTGCTCACATACCTTTCGAAGATCCAGAGTTCCAGAACAGGCTGTCCACTAGTTTTCTCTCAAGTGAGCTTTCCCCTCTCCAGCTTCTATGCTGCAGAGTTTGCATGGCAGCACTGTTTCTTTGCCTGCTCCTAGCGCTCCAAAAACAGAGTGGTAAGTGGTAAGAGGCAGAGCAGAGGCAAAGCGGGATCTTGCATTGCTTCAGGCTTCCGCCCCTTGGCTAAAGCTTTTGGCATGGAGAACAGAAGACTTTGGGGGGCTCAGTCTCCTTTAGGCCTAAGTCCTCCATGCCAAAAGCGTTTTTCAAGGGGATGGAAGCCTTCGGGGACATGGTCTTGCACTTCTTCAGACTCACCAAGGCTGCCTGGTGCTCCAAAAGCAGATTGGATGTCTGGCACAGGCAGCCTCATGAGTCAGCTAAGCTGAGGAGGGCACACTCATCCTGCTCTGCCTCTGCTCTCATGGCTCCACTGGAGTGCTGGGAGCAGGCAAAAAAACTACTGCCATGCAAATCCCACAGCAGAAAGCTGGAGAAGAGATAGCTTGTTCGAGGAGAGAAAAGGAGCAGTCAGACTGTTCTGGAACTCTGGATCTTCAAAAGATAAGCGAGTGGTCATAATGGGGTGGGGAGAAGCAAATGGAATCTGGGGGGGCTAGCAAAGTAGGCCCAGTGCTTGTGGAGACCCTGGGGGCAGGATGAGAGAGGGAAGCAATTATGGGGACCTCAAAGGATTGTAAGCTGACCATAAAATATCTCAGTGGGTGGGGTAGGACTTGGGTGGTTCAAACAGGTGGTCTGTTCCATACTAGGCCCCCTCATGGTCTTCCCCATCCTGAGATACCTCATGTGCACTTAACAATCTGTGCATTCAATTAGTGAATGCATTGGGGAAAGCAGGGAGGGATCAAATTCATTTAATGTGATCCAATTAACAAATTCTCAGATTATAAATGTAATCAGCAAGCTCTATTACATTCATAACTCAAGGATTACCAGTATCATGTTAAATTATGATGCTTAAAAGTGGCTTATATATTTGTTGAAGACTGCTTTATCTTTTTTACCAATAATAATGTTTATTAAAATATAAGTTTTAGAAAGTAGGCTTTTATCTTCAAAATCCATTGTGAACAACTGAAGACAATCCAGAGCACATATATTTTCCAGAACAAGTTTCATGTAGAGTTATTAAAGAGAATGATCCATGATTACTGACATCCACATGCTGGTTAAAAAGGGCTTTTGTCATTCATTTCCTTAGACCTACAAAATACAATACAAGCTATATTTTAAATAACTATTTCTTATACCTCGTTATCTGTAGTAGAATGCACCCTTGATAATTTTATAATATTAAACTGATTCACATGTGGCAGTATGGATGAAATATAGTATCAGACATGATAAATATGTTAAATCAAGTGGCCCACATGGAGATCATTATAGAGCAGATTGTAGAGCATTCTGTCAAAAAACTTGGGAAATTTTGAAAAGTGAGATACTAAAAGCCCAGTCTAGCACAATACCAATGAAGAAGAAAAATAACAGCTCTCCAAAGAAACCAGCATGGCTGCATAAAGAAGTCTCTGATAGAGCCAATAAGGAGATAAAAGGGGTACTGGTTAAGACAGAAGAGTATAAGACACAAGCATTTACGTATGACTTGGTCTTTTTTATTGAGGAACCAATAGAGAAAGGAAAGATTTTGATGAAAGAAATAGAAAAATATGGAATAGTGGCAGGATTAAAAATTAATAGAGAAAAGACCAAAATGTTAGTCAAAAACCTAACCGAAAAACAGAAAAGGAAATTAGAAGAGAATCTGGAATTGCAAATTATAAAAAAGATCAAGTATTTAGGAATCTGGCTTACCACAAGGTGCTCCTCAATAAAAGAAGATAACTATAAAAAATTGATATTACAGATGAAGAAAGATTTGGAGACCTGGGGGAAATTACAATTATCCTTATTAGGTAGGATTATGTTGATTAAAATGAATACATTACCAAGATTATTATATTTGTTCCAAACAGTCCCGATAAAATTAGAGAAACTTTCTTTTGAAGAATTAGATAAAATAATAAATAAATTTATCTGGACGGGCAAAAAAGCACAGATAAACACGAAAATATTACAAGATAGTAGAAGTAGAGGTGGACTTGGACTCCCAAAATGGGAAAGTTATTATCAAGCAGCTGGACTACTCTGGATCAAAGATTGGATAAACCTAGACAATAAAAGAGTTTTAACGATTGAAGGGCATGATTTACAGGCTGGCTGGCATGCCTTTTTATGGGGGAAACATAGGAAAACATACACATACTTTTATCAACATCAGATAAGAGATGCGTTGATTCGGACGTGGGAAAAAGCCAAAAAAAGACATTATAGGAAAATTCCAAATTGGATTTCACCGATGGAGGCGATGATCCACCCTAACACCTTGGATAAGAAAAAGATGATTGGGTACAAAGAACTATTAGACAGCCAAGGAAACCTTAAATCAAGAGAAAAATTAGAAGAACAAGGAATAATCATAGATTGGTGGCCATATTTACAGATCCAATCTAACATAGTAAGGATATGGAAGAGCATGGAATAACCCAGACCCCACATCAATTGGATAAAATTTTAAAGTTAAGGAAGGAAAATTTATAACAAAAAGCTACAGATATTTATTAGAGGTAGAATGGAGGAAGAAATAGTGAAAGGGCCAATGATCGCATGGGCGAGAAATGTGGGCCGAAATATAAACTGGAAGAATGGGAAAGATTATGGAACATAAATTGCAAACTGACACTGTCAACTGCATATAGGGAAAATCAATACAAAATGTTCTATAGATGGCATTTAACACTGGCGAGATTGGCCAAAATGTACAAAAATATGAATCTGGAATGCTGGAAATGTAAAAATAAGGAAGGAACATTCTATCACATGTGGTGGCTGTGCCTCAAAGCAAAGAGCTATTGGGAACAGATAGGGAACCGGATACAAGAGATAACCAAGGTGCAAATTGAATTCAAACCTGAACTATTTCTTCTGGGTATAGTAAATTTAAAGATCAAAAAGCAACTCCAACACATCATTATACATATATTGACAGCAGCCCGTATAGTATATGCTCAGTGTTGGAAGGGTGAAAACATACCTACGAACGATATGATTATATATAAAATTCTTGAATGCGCGGAAATGAATAAACTTAAACTAGAATTAAAAGACAAGGAGGCAACAGAATTTTATGAAATATGGAACAAATGGTATGATTGGCTAGAACAAAGAAAGAAAAAGACATGATTACTGATGTAAATAAATTGTAAATAATATATAGGAGATGTATAACATAATTTTGTTAAGGGAAAAATGTATTTTTTCAGTTTTATTTTTGTTGTACAGTGGAAAAAAGGAAAAATATTTTTTTTTAAAAAAAGAACTCTCTGATAAATTGAAAGACAAAAAGGACAAGTATAACAAGTGAAAAGAGGGGCACATAACTAAGACAGAATATCAGCAAACAGCCTGAGCCTACAAACATGAAGTGAGGAAAGCTGAGGCTCAAAATGAAGTAAGACTTGCGACAAAAGTCAAAAATAACAAAAAAAGCTTCTTTCAACATGTAAAAACAAGAAAAAAGTCAAGGAAATGATTGGCCTATTAGTGGGAGAAAGTGGCAAGAAGGTAACAAGCAACAGGGAGAAAGCAGAACTATTTAACTTGTTTTTTGCGTCCGTTTTTACACAAAGGGAAAAAACAGCCCAACCTATTAAAAACAGTACCGTAAAAAAACAGATTAGAAACACAAGTTAAGATAGGCAAGAAAATAGTAAGGTCCTGAAGGAACTGACAGATGTGATCTCAGAACCCAAGCCCCTCTTTTCACTTGTTATCTGGCTGATTCAGACTAAATTTGCTGCACTGGGGACATTGAAATCAGTGAGAATATCCCCTGTGGATAAATTAGAGTTTCTTCAGCCCCAGAAGAGAGGGATCTGCCAGGATTCAGGAAGAGATGAAATTATGGCACTGTTTTTATCTCTCTGAAGCAATTCTCGGTGTTTTTAAATACACTACCCATTACAGATATAGGCATTTTCTCCTTTTTATTCTGAATGAAACAAAGCTAATTTAAATAATGAGATCCCTAAGAATTTCCATGGTTTAGAACAATTGCAGAAAACCAAGTTGATTCTATTTTATCCTGACACCTGTTTGAGTTTGTTAAACATTTCAGGTATTTTTTGACCCACGGATACCTTAAAATATATAAAAACTATGGAAGCTCATCCAGCCTTTCCCCTTCTCCATTATTTGAAGTAGATCTCTTGGCTCAAGATGATGGAGAAGAAGCCATCTTCTCCCATTTATGAGGCATATCAGTGAAACAATCTTATATTAAATTTATTTTAAAAAGACTGAGCTAATTTGGGCATAACCATTCAGCTTTATAAAAGAGTAATTCTATCCAAAATGGGATAAGGAAGGGCAACCACTTAGGCAGTGATGAAAACTGTAAGATATGTGAACATCAGAATATTTCATTTGCATGCTGGTAATAAAATATGGGAAGAAACAAGGAGAGAAGGGGAAAGTGTACATACATTAATACAATATGAATAATCCATTTTTCCATTTATGCAAGTAACTCTAAATCAGTGGTTCTCAACGTTTGTGTGACGACGACCCCCACCACACAAACGTGCCGTGCATGCGCGGTGCGGCGCGCATGCGCGGCGGCGCCCCCTGAGGGGGAAAAATGGCGGATCGCCTTGTTTGGTGACCCCCGAGAAATGGTTGATTGACCCCAAATGGGGTCGCGACCCATAGGTTGAGAACCGCTGCTCTAAATGGTCTGGAATATGGGTGTAGCTGATATCCTCTTTTACATAGAAATTCAAGTGTATTTCCATCTCCACAATATATTTTATCCCATTCCTTCCCCCCCCCCCCGCTATATATTATTGTGCCTCAAATTTTCTTACCTTGTTATAAAAGGAACTACAAAAACTGCATAAATTGCATAAGCTGTATATTGCTTTGGTCATAAAAGAAAGTGCCTTCTTCAGGTAATATTTTAAGAAACAACTCTTTCCAGTAAAAAAAAAAAAAAAAACTTTCATTGTCTCATCAGGAAAATTTGAACATTTTTTCCCTAAGTCTTTTTTCCTTCATCCTTATTTCTCTTTCCGGTTCTAAGGTTAAGATCCAGAAGCATGTGCCATTCAGAGATAAGCTATCCTTAAATAGATAAAGTAGTGCTAATTAACACTGTTATTATAGATTGAATAGCAGACCGCTGGGATACAATTCATAGTCCAGTAGATATGACTTTGGTTGCAGATTGAAATCCCCTACCCGCTCCTTGCTTCCTGCTGGTCAGGGAAAAGAGTTAGGTGTTTTAAGACAAAAAGTGGCACTTGAATGCAATTTGGGAGAAGAACTTCCCAGCAGTCTCTGAGGAAAATTTCAGGACCCTTAAAGCAGAAGATGATTTGATTCAGATTTTGCCTGAAAGAGGTAGACTGTCTAGACAGGAGTGTATTCAGATTCTTTGATGTCCATTTTGTAGATGTTGCTGACTTGTTTCAAAGTCACTGTAAAAGTGAGGGGATACAATAATTAAGTTCAACCTTAAGCATACATCAGGCTGTTTCACAAGATATAATTTTTAAAGTATCTTGTGATTTCTGTTGAGAATGTAAAACCTCACTAATATCTTTGAGGAGAATTTCAGAATTCCTGGTTTGTCCAGAAATTGATCTTTCCTCCGGAGTTTTATTTCTTTTTCCAACAAAATTGCCAGTCATTTGTGGGACTGTCCATAATACATACCACATCTATGGGCTAAGATTAGAAAGATTTACATTCCATTTTTTCCATGAAACATGAATCAGGATAAAAATCTAAGCAGAACCAATCTCTCTCTCTCTCTCTCTCTCTCTCTCTCTCTCTCTCTCTCTCTCTCTCTCTCTCTCTCTCTCTCTCTCACACACACACACACACACACACACACACACAACACACATACACACACATACACACACAATCCAGAATATCTTTTTCTAAATGACTTCATTCTGATAATGATCATATGTCATATCTCCATTCAGATAATTGTAACAATGTCATACAGTATGTCACATCTCGTTGTGATTTAGCATAACAAGGTAGCTCTTCAGAACTATGAGTTGCAGTTTTGTGTTCAGTGGTGGTTAAGCATGAAACTTGGAGCATTTTAGGAAGCTCAACTATTGGCCTACCTTCTGACTAATGTATTTTTTTCTTTGATTGTTGCTCCATGCCTCTTCAAAGTTTTTTTTTAATGTTCAGATTTTATAGAAAACTATTTTGGCATCAGAATTGTTAAGCACACCCAAATCTGCATTTAATTTCCAAATCGCCTTTGGATAGGTCACCACTGTCAGTTTCTGGACAACATAAATTTCAAAAGTGCTTAAATATTGTGCAGATTTTGACAACCTTTATAGAGACTGTAGTGAGCTCATTGTGAGTCTCTCTAAACCAACCAGTACAGGAGATCCTTGTGTTTGCAATATGTAAGATTGAGATAGTTCTAACTTTTACTGTCTTTTCCTTTCCCTCTTTAAAACCATTTCATTCCTGCAGCCACCTGCGTTCAACCTTCTTTTGGTGTTTAGCCCTTCTCCCCTTCCATTTCAGTAATATTCCCTCCATTCTTCATTTCATCAAATTTAAGATCCTCAACTTATGATTTTGCTCCTATTGTTGCAATTATTCTATTCATGTGCCATGGTGCAGCTCAGGTGCTAGCAAATTTTTCTGCATGTGTACTTTTAGGCTCATCTACAATTTCTATTTCTCATGAAACAAAGATACTCTCCTAACAGGTCATTAAGAGTATGAATATACAGCATTGTCCCCAATCTCTCCATGTCCATTGCAAGAATCAGATCTGCCTGTCATTTCTTGCTCTGTATCAAAACGGTATTTGCTATTTCTGCTAGCAAACCAAGTGCTATGCAGTCCATCTGTAATGCCTCAATAGACAGGGAATGTTCACATTTCCCAGGGTATATTAGCTATCTTCCACAACGTTTTCACTTTGAGCTGTCTGATCAACTTCAGAAGGAAAAATTCCCTGTAAAATAGACTGCACCTTGCTTTGTCAAGAACACATCAGCATGGGGCCACTTATATAACTGAAAAGTGTAGTATCTTGCAGTACCAGCAACTCTCTCTTTTTTTAAAATATATTTTATTGGTTTTATAGTTTTAACAAAAAGTGTTTGAGACACACTGTGGTGTTTGGGTAAACAAAAAATCCAACATAAAATCACAAAATAACAACTCAACTTAATACATTCGCTATCATCTCTCTATTTCCCTCAAGTAACATAATAAATTTAATATATTTCATTTCTATCCTAAATTTCTATTACTACTAAACCTGTTTATTAAAACTTTATCAATTTCTATTACCATAATCAAATAATGTTTTACATCAACATATTACCCCTTCAAATATCTCTTGCAAATATATTCAAATTTTTAATCTCTCTCATCCCTTTTTATCACCAATCTTATTTATTTCTTCTTCCAATAATAGCTAATTTAGTTTAAAAAAAGACAATATTATCATATCTTATCAAATCGTATTATTATACACAAATATCTCTTAATTAATTAAACATTACACATATATATAGTTATAATTTTCTTACTTCTAAATCTAGATCATTATCTTTAACCTTTCAGCCAGTAGGTCCATTTTTATTGCTTATCGTAATCATTGACTTAATTCATTTCCATTCATTAAACAAACCAAATTCCATCCATTTAATTACCATATCTGTTGCGTCCTTGGCGGGAAAACAGACACGAGAAGCAGCTGGAGTTCTCAGTTTCTTTTATTCAGTGTTCAGCTTACAGGAAGATGGCTTCAGCCTCGCACAAACGCCTCGCAGCCTCTTATATAGGCAACTCCCGGGTAAATGGGTTACTTTTCCCGCGCCAGCACCCGCGCATGCGCACGGCGCTGGCGACAGCCTGTCTGGTCCCGGGCAGCTTTGCACCTGCCCGGGACTGCCTGCAAACGCCCGAGCCGTTTGCAAAGGCTCGGGACATAACACCCCTTTCCCCCGGGCTAAAACTACTACCAACATACAACATTTATTTTATATGACATTTTGCTCCCCAGTGCTCCCACTGTTTACTGGCCTTTGCCTTGCCAGCAATGTTATGTAGTCTTCTAGGTACTTAGGAGATTTCTTTGCTCTCTGTGACCTTCTTAGCTGTGGGTTACTGGCATAAGTCCCCTGACTGGAGGGAGGCGTGAGCCTGTTCTCTCTATTGTGCCCTGGTGTCTTCCAAGGACTGTGCCCCGATGCCTGGCCTGCTTGCTTGCCCACCGGGCTCGTCAGGCCAGGGCTTCTGTTGCTTTGTGACCTGGTTGACCTGCCTAGCTGTAGACCCTCGGGCCCCTTGAAGTGATAGCCACTGCTGGGCGTCTCTGTAGAACCTCCTAGGTCAGTCCAAGACCTGTCAGGAGGCTGTCCATTCCCTGAACCCCATTCTGTGCTCGGGCTCGTGTGGGTTTCTGTACTTTCCCAAAACTCAGGTGTTCCCTGATTTGTGCTAGGGTTGTTGTAGTCGGGACTTGGTTCCTCGACTAGCTCTGTGTATGTTTGACCCCCTGTAGGATTTGGGGTAAGGTCAGGCCAACCTTGGGAATTGTGTGCCAGTTCTCTTGCGGGGAATGATTTGTTGGGATGCCCCGGGTATCCTCCGTTGCTGGAGTGCTGTGTGATGTGTGTGGAAAGTGAGTATGCCCCCGGGGTGACTCCCTGGCTGGAGTAGGCGTGAGTGCCTGTTGTGTAGGTAAGCTCCATGACTTTCTTTTCGGAGCAATTGCAGAACCTTGGGACGAGCCGTTTGTGGCTCCCTCAGTGGAGATGGGCAGTAACTCTTGCCCTTCCCTTTGCTCCAAAGGGTCCCCCTCCCCCCCTGGAAAAGACCCAGGAGTCTCAGCAGAAAAGTCTCGCCTAGAGCGAAGTTGGTCGATGTGCCGACGTAGGACACGACCGTTGTCCAGGGCAACCTCGTAGGAGAGAGGACTGTGATCCTGGACACAGAAGCGGGGACCCATGTATGACCAGGCCCGTAATTGCGAGCCCAAACCGGGGGGCACCCACAAGTAGTTGTCTAGGTGCCCTAGGATGTGAGGTAGATGAAGGCAGTCTGTCCGGATGCAACCGGTCAAGTCTAGTAGTAAGTTGGCGCCCCCAACGAAGTTCAGCTGGACTTCTCCCTGTAGAAGTGGACGGTGTGGTGCGATAAGAAAGGAGAAAGTCAGCCAACCTGTGATGCCAGTCCCCGTAGGTGAGTCTCTTCAAGGCGTCCTTTGCGATGCGCACCATGCGTTCAGCCATACCGTTGGTGGACGGGTGAAAAGGCGCAGACGTGGCATGACGAATCAGGTTTGCCTGTAAGAAAGCTTGGAATTCGGAGGAGGTGAATTGAGGGCCGTTGTCGGACACAATGACATCTGGCAGCCCGTGTGCAGCAAAAATCCCCCTCAGTACCTGAATAGTCTTTGCAGTGGTGGTGGATGAGACAGGCACAACCTCAAGCCATTTTGAATGGCTGTCAACAAGGACCAAGAAGAACTGGCCCTGAAAGGGCCCAGCGTAGTCAATGTGCACCCTAGACCATGGGGACTGTGTTTCCTCCCATCTATGCACAGGAGCTTGGGGCATCTCTGGGCGAGATCGTTGGCACAGGTGGCATGCGTGCACCTTAGCCTCAATATCTTTATCTAAAGCAGGCCACCACAAGTGGCTTCGTGCAAGAGCCTTCATACGGACAATGCCAGGATGACCCTCGTGGAGGGATTCTAAGACCCTAGTCCTCATTGAGGTGGGAATGACAACTCTGTTTCCCCAAAGCAGACAACCCTGAGAAAGGGACAGTTCGTTTCTTTTGGACCAGAAACTCTGAAACTCAGGACTAGGGCAGTGCTCAGGCCACCCGGACAGGACCCAGGAGCGGACACGTGAAAGTGTGTGATCTGTACCCGTTTCAGCGGTAACATCCCTGGCACTAAGAGGGAGCTCGGGCAAGGCTTGGATTGATAGAATGTTGACAGCTGGCGCGGGGTCAGCTTCTACTACTGGCAGAGGCAACCTACTGAGGCCATCAGCATGGCCCATTTCTTTCCCAGGCTTGTGGAGTAATGAAAAATCATATGCAGACAAGAAAATAGACCACCTAAGCATTCTAGGGGAAATGATGTGGGGAGTCTGCTTACGTGTGGTAAACAGTCCCAGCAGAGGCTTATGGTCAGTGAAGACCGTGAAATGCCTGCCATATAGAAAATCGTGGAATTTTTTAATTCCAGCAACAACAGCCAGAGCCTCCCTGTCTATCTGAGCGTAGTTGCGCTCGGCAGAAGACAGTGTTCTGGAGTAGTATGCAATAGGAACCTGAGTTCCATCAGACCTGAGGTGACTCAGGACAGCTCCAACCCCGTAGGGGGATGCATCACAAGCGATGCACACAGGAAGAGACTCGTTGAAATGTGCAAGAACACTGTTAGAAGTGAGCAAGGCCTTGA